GATTAAATGCCAGCTGATCACCCCTAGAATGTAAATTCTTGTTAAATACATATTCAGATTTTAAAAACAACAAATGAGAAAGTAAACTCCATGAAGGCAAGCATTTTTGTGTTTTGTTCAATGCTGTTTCTAAACTCATGTCTGGCCGATAGTGAGGGCTCAAATATCTGTTGAAAGAGCACCGACTTTATAAGAATATGTTTGGGCCACAAGCATACTTAATACAACAGGATTAAAAAATAGGTCTGAAACACAAAATCCTATTTTAGGGAACTCAAGAGTTTAAAAGAAAGGGAGAAAAACAGGTAAGCGGACATGCATACTAAGTTTCTAATACTGGATATTACCTCCTTTCTGTAAGACTGTTTCAACCTGTCAAGCATGACATATCTTTTCATAAGAGTCCCACTTAATCTAAAAATGTGACTGGTATTTACAGCCAGTACACTGCAGGACTACATTTCCATTATAGCTTTTGTGTTTGTTTATAGCATTGATGCAATCTAAGAACACTTGTTCCTTCTCTCAAAATCCTTACCTTGCTTTTGAGTAATCTACTTTTGAATTTATAAATACCTCACATTATTTACCATATAATTTGCATCATACCAAATCCTGATCAACCGTTAAAATGTTAAAGGAAAGACATTGCTATATTTCTTAATGAATACACTAAACCTTTAGATACAAATAGTTTTATATTTAGCCTCTGTAAAGCCATAGATGTTTGAAAAAAGTTTTTAAACGTGAACCAAAGGGTCTAGTTTTAAGAACTTAGCTGTGCATGGGTGAGATCACTACCCATTTAATAGTGTTCTCCAAGTAACAGAATGTGGAAAATGAAAGGAAGATCACTTAGAGGTTTGAAGTTCTTCAGCTGCACAATCCTGTCTTCCTTATTCAAGAAGTTTGTAGTCATTTCCAGAATTCACTCCAGAAGCCAACTTCTTCATTTAGATGTCAGCAAACCAGTCAGGGCAAAAGATACATGAAGAGAAACAACACCACGTCGAAAAGGATAAAGAGCCAGAGATCCAGCCAGAAGGAGCGTCTTGGAAGCCCGTTTGCTCCAGACCTAGGCCGCACATCGTGGCTCTGCTGCTGCCTCCCAGTCTCGCACGAGCCTCGCCGCTCCTGAGGACTGTCCGGACCCTCTCCTGCTGCCGCGCCCACCTCCGCTCACTCCCACAGACCCGCTGCAACCCTAGTGTTGTGGGGCAAATGCACAGAGGAATCCAAGACCGTGCTCCCGAGGACTGTCCGGACCCTCTCCTGCTGCCGCGCCCACCTCCGCTCGCTCCCACAGACCCGCTGCAACCCTAGTGTTGTGGGGCAAATGCACAGAGGAATCCAAGACCGGCGTCAGGGTTGCAGTTTCATAGCTCTTTATTTTAGTGTCGCAGCTCTTTGTTCAGTGTCACAGCGCCTCTTTTTGCTTGCAAGCAAGGAGAGCACTGGGGAGCAGAAACTCCTGAGCCAGTGTCTCCCAGAACATAGGAAAAGACCCCCTTGGCCTAAATTCCCGCCCTTCTCCCTCCCAGGTGCTCATTCAGGTCCTCTTATGTAAATGAGGGATGCTGTCCTAATTTGGATTGGCTGGTTATGGGACACAGTCCAGTTGGTCATTTTAGGAGCCTAATTTGCCTCTGGCCCCTGGGGGAGGGGTGTGAGACTGCTTTATCTCATAGAGGGTGGGCCCAAGAAGCAAGCAGGGTAAAGGGCAGGGGCCCAAGTTGGCAGTGGAGCATAGAGTTTCTAAGTGGAAAAGGGAAAAGCTCAACAATTAAAAATGCTTAGAGTTCCCTGCAACACTAGCTCCTGGAAAAGCCTCAGTTCCCACTTAAACTCGTTCTTAGATTAAAAAAGCAAGCTACAAAGCAATATGCTATGTGACTGCAGTAAGCAAAATGCATTTTATGTATTTTATACAAATATTTATATACATCTGAGCAGGATGCCTCCAAATGCAATGACTAGGGCTCCAGGAGAACCCATGCCCTGCCGATGGGCCTTTCCCCGGAAAGGGGCTGTGTTTGATTTTACTCCCCTTTTGTTATTACCACACTGACAGCTTTGATTGTTGCACGCCTCCCCTTCACTGCACTGATTCTACCTTTTCGAATCTCTTAATGCTTAATCAGACATTCCCTCCCCTCCAAAGAGAGACCAGCCGCACTCCCTGGTCATCCGGTCAGCTCCATGTGAGCCCTGGGGATCATCCTGCCTCCCCACAGCCTGACACTTCTAGTGAGGAGCCATCCCCTCCGCTCCTTCCAGACCCAGCAATGCAGAGGTGTGGCAGGACCACAGGTCACAGTGGCACTTCAAGGCCCTGGAGAGACATCAACGCCTCTGTCACCAAGACGTCACACAGGCTGTGGGTGTGCACCAACGTTAGGGCCACCATGCACATGGATCAAGAGTTGGCAGACTTTTTCTATAGAAGGCCACGTGGTAACTATTTAGGCTGTGCGGGCCATACACCCTGTCTCGACTATTCAGCTGTGCCGCTGTAGCAGGAAACCAGCTGCAGGCGATGTGTAAATGAATGGGAATGGCGTATGCCATAAGTTTGTTTACAAAAAAACAGGAAGCTGCTTTTGAGAAGTTTGCTACCCCTACATCGAAGATGGAAGGAGCCCTGGAGTTGAGCCCTGTGGCACCCTACACCTGTCACTATGCTGGTGTCAAAGGACAAAAAGGCCTGGGGCACCAGTGCCTCACACCTGCCTGCAACAAGACCCCATCTGGTGTCTCTTCAGCCACAGGCCAGCGTTCATCAGGTGCCCAAAGCCAGTGGCTCCTCTCAGGAGCCTGGCCCCACATTCTGACCGGCGCAGGCTTCTCTTTCGGCACCACTCCCCTCAGGGCGCCTGGCCTTTCCCTGCCTGAGCACAGACCCTAGGCAGTGGCTTCCCTGAGGTCCTCCTGTCCTCCAGCAAGCTGCGAAAGCATCCTCGGGCTTAGCCTCCAAGTGTGCCGGCGGCGCAGCCGGGTTCGGATCGGAAGACTTCTCCCGGCTCGCCTGTGAGACTGCAGCAGGTCAGGGCAAGCCTGGCCTCCCTCCTTTCACCTCAAGCAACCCCTGACCTTGGCTGCACATGTGGGGTCACAGCCCTGCAGGCGTTTGCAGTCCGAGGAGGATCAGAGGCACTGCCAGTCCCCAGGGAAGCCCGCCAGGAGACAGCCTGGCAGAGCAGTCACCAGCAACCCTGCTGCTCCCCCTGGTCCTCTTTTCTCAGCTGGGTGTGGGTCAGGAAACAAGTACCCACAGATAAGTGGGTAGTTAAACAATCAACTGCTCCCAGTCACGTTGCCAGACACACCCTGAACTTGAGTCTGGCTTCCCTCAGGGTGACGAGTGCAAGTGGAGCCTGGATGTTTGAAGTCAGCACACCTGTGTGAAAGGCCTCAGTTTCCCTCCCATCCCACACCCCTTCCAGGCCCCTTCCACACACACACGCCCACCAGTGTCTGAGGAACAGGCTGAGGAAGAGACACCTCCAGAGGCCGTAGGGATTCCCCCCTGATGCACAAGCCAGAGGAACCGGGAAGGGGGGCCAGGGCCACTGGCGTCTGCCAAGGTCCCCAGCCTCCTCGCAGGAACAGTCTCACAGAAAAACTCCTTCTTAAAGAAAGGCTTTATTGCTGCAATTAGATATCCCCGTGTACAGCACAAACAACCCCCCGTACAGAATCACTCAAGTGGTAATACTGAGAAATAGTGAACATACGTGAAAGGATACAAAATTAGATATTTAGGTGACCAGAAACTTTCTTGGTTAAGAAAAACGTCAATTGTAAAGTGTCTTTTAGAAACTACACCTCACAGGCCAGTGTAAATCTGGTTTTTATTATCAACTCTCTAAAAACACTTTATCTAACTGTGCATCGATCAGCTGCACAACTTGACCGATTACCTCCAAAACAAAGATAAATGTTTTCACGTCCCTCTGTTTCGGTCTTCCCTCGGGCTAGAGATGGAAGCTGCATGTTTCAAACCAGATTTAAAAGGGAAAGTATCTCAAATGTGTGCTTGTGTCCAGCTACATCCACAGCATGGTGGACCTTCACCGGCTGCCACAACCCTCCCCCAGCCCCGCAGCCCTGCAGCCCAGACGGTGCGGCATCACCCGAGGCTCCTGAACTGGCCCAGCTGCCTGAGGCCTGCACATCCGAGGCCGGGTAGCGCACAACTGCAGGTTTGGAAGCCAGGCCTACACGACTGAAGAGTGAATTGAAGCAAAAAAGAGGGAAACATTAGACCTAGAGTACAGAGACACATTTTACAGGGTTTCCAGGAAATTCTTGCAATAAACTTGGGCACAAAAACCAAATTACTGCTGGCAGCTGAACAGAAGCACACAAGTAGAGGGTTTGCTGGCGACACCCGAGACCACTCCCTCTTCCCGTGACTGGCGCATAAGTAACCAGCCAGCCCCCCAGGCCCTGAGACCTCATCCCAGGTTCAGCCAAATGTCATACTCCCACTAAAGTTAGGTGCAAAATGAGGGAAAACGGGGGAATAAATAGCCCCCCAAAAGAACGTAGAGGGCAAGTTTCCAGACTAAAGGAACAACAGTAGACCTGATGCCCCCACTAGGTGGCAGCACAGCACAGCCTTGCCCTCGTGCTTCCCACCAGTCATGATGGGTGGAGGGTCTGAGGGCTCCGAGGTGCTGAACTAGAACCTGCAGGAGAGGTTTCCAGACTAAAGGAACAACAGTAGACCTGATGCCCCCACTAGGTGGCAGCACAGCACAGCCTTGCCCTCGTGCTTCCCGCCAGTCATGATGGGTGGAGGGTCTGAGGGCTCCGAGGTGCTGAACTAGAACCTGCAGGAGAGAAGGCAAGGGGGTGGCTGTGTGCTGGGCCAGGAGGAGGAGAGGAGGTGGTTAAGCAGATTATCCACAGAGCAGCCAGAGGGGAAGAGACAGCGTTAGATCTTCCTGAAAAGAAGGTGGAGGGCTTCACATGAGACTCTGGCTGGGCACGGGAGTGATCCAGGAGTCACAGTTATAAAGGCACCTCTGCCATAAGGGGGTGCCACCCACACTGGGTGGGCTGCCCAGGGCCCTCCTTCCCTAAGCACACTCTACCTCTACAGGAAGTGTCCGTGCTTTTCAAGGTCAGCATGAGGGGATCAATGGGGATTGGGGAAGGGTGAGCAGGCACACTAAAAGTCTACCCTAGTCTTCATCTCACCCACTCATCACTGTTGGGGGGTGGCAGGGATGAGTGTACAAACCAGGAACCTTGCCTGGGCAACTCTTAAGGGGCACGAGCAGGGATGACCTGGGATTCAGCTCCCCTGAGTGGACAGCCTATGGCTGCCTGGAGTCCCCAGACTGAAAAGGGGCATGGGTAATTGCACTTTGGGACACAGTGACACAAGCATGGGCTGGACAGGGCCTGGGAGACAGAGGAAGGCCATGGCAGAGCAGCCCCACAGACTGGGACCTGTGATCCCAGTGAGTCAGGGACTGGGTGGGAGGAGATGGCAGGACAGAGCCTGCTGCCATGAGCCCCTGCTCAGAGAGAGACCCTCAGCCTCCACCTGGTCTTCAGAACCAACCACAGGGCTTCCACTCTGCAAGACAAAGAAATCATCTTGTGTTTGCTTCATCCCCTTCATGGGACGGGTCAGGCACCTAAGGTTGAGAGAGGCTGAGGGCAGGACCCCCAGTAAAACCACAGGAATTCTGCTCTAATTGCCATTTAGCATCCAGTAATTCCCATGAAATCTGTTACAAAAAGCCTCAGACTTGTTTGTCCTGTTTTAAAGTCCCAAGTCTGTCTTATGGACACAGAGTGGATGTCACGCATCTCAGACTATATAAGGCAAAAAGGGTTTTAGATCTATTATAATGTAAAAGAGATAACAAGGGCAATGAAGGAAAGACTTCTAAATGAGACATTCTTTTAAGTGTCAATCCCACTGGACGCAAGTATTACAAAATAAAGACTGTCTTTTGTAAAGTGCTGATGGCTCAGTGAATCACACACCAACATACACAGAGCATCTGGCCCATCCGCTCGGGAAGGCTGGTGTGGCAGCATCGGCAGAGGGAGGGCATGAGTTTGGGTTTATAGGACTGTTTCAGTCCCCTCCCTGGGGCTTCCCTTAGTGAGGAGGGAATCCTCTTGCCACGGCTAGACATTCCAAATGCTCTGTTCTGGGGCAGGGCTGCAGCAAACTGGCAGAGGCTGTGTGCTGGACCCTGACGCCCCTGCTCCTGCTCTTCCTCAGGTTTGGCATTAATATTATTGTCTCATTCTGCTCAAGACCATGGGCAGGACCACAGCTGGCTCCCCATCACGGCATCACAGGGTCTTCCACCTTTCCTTCCCTTCCCACAAAGCAGTCTGGCAGAGGTGGGACCCAGCCATGCCCGACCCATGGGAGGGCTCTCCAAGAGATTCATTAAGGAGGGTTTAGAAAAGAGAAGCCACTAACAGTCACCTGCCCAGCCTATGCTACTAAAGGACAAAAGAAAGGTACACAATTGGCAGTAAACAATTTCCTTCAGCTCTTCATGGATGTCTAGGAAAACTACACCCTCTACACAATCAGACGTGAATGATCTCTGCTCCAGTGTCTTCAGGCTCTGTGCAACAAGAAGAGTTTGTGTCGGAATGACATATTCCACGTCCACCTTTATTTTCAAAGTTGGGCTCTGTTAGTGCAGATTTTTCAAAAATATTCTTTTTGCTTCTTTCTGGACAGTTCTGAACATAGATCACTCTATTATAAGCCTTGAGTCTCTTCCATAATTGCGCATACACTTTGCACTGCACGTACATAAAAAGAAGTCCTCCAGTGAAGCCGATGGCCACAACCACCAATTTAGTCCAAAAGGGCCACTCTAGAATTCCTGGAAGGGAAAAAAACAGCCTATCAGTAGATCTTATTTAAGATCTGAAGTAAATAAAACCTTCTATACCCAGTGGATTCTTAACTCATCAAATCTTGTTTTATCAAAGGAGAGTGAAAGAGAGTGCCCACAATTTTCATTCTGCTGTTCCAGGAGGTAGTTCATGGAGAGTCTCACACTCCACAATCTGACCTCTTCTGGGTTTCAAAAACTGCCACCACAGCAAGAGAGACATCCACAATGGATGCTTGGTGCCTCCTAACTGATGTGCCCCTCTAGAAACCCAGATGTTTACAGTTTGACTCCAACAGCACTGTGATCCTAAGACCCCGGTGTGCTCTCCAGGACCTCTGTGCTGAGCTCACCTTGCAGCTGAGTACTTACCTGTTGCCTGCCCCTGCTTGATCTCCTCAGCAGTGCGGTCAATGAGCACATACAAGGACCAGACCACACAGGTGATGGCGATGACATGGAATGTCACTGAGCACATGATCTTCCTGCGCTCGCTGGCCGTCATCTGCAACTTCTCCCACTGGAAAGACAACACGCAGAGCGTGGGGCTCAGGCTCAGAGAAAAGGGCCACAATGGGTGGGAGAGCATTGTAGATGGGTAAAACTGGCTTCCCGCCCACAACCCCTTTCCCAAACTAGATGAATTTCCCAAAATGCCCAGAGTTGTTCTCTTTAAACCACTAGGCTTCAACCAGGTACCAGGAACGGCCAACTTTCTATGCAATAAAAAGAAGCTGGGACCGAGATGAGGGCTAAACTACCAGCACGCCCACAACCCCTTTCCCAAACTAGATGAATTTCCCAAAATGCCCAGAGTTGTTCTCTTTAAACCACTAGGCTTCAACCAGGTACCAGGCACGGCCAACTTTCTATGCAATAAAAAGAAGCTGGGACCGAGATGAGGGCTAAACTACCAGCAGCAATCCCCTTTTCTGCAAGCAGACATTAGGTGGCCTGAGAAAGAACTGTATGATTTCAGTCCTGATGCAAACATGTTGACCCGAGCCCCAGCTACTATGTTCTAAGTCTCCCTGACTTGCTAACTGGCATGGACAGGCAGAAGAAGAGGGCTGATGATGCCACAACACACTGGCAGATGGGTCACACTACGTTGTGAAGGTGAATGGCAGACAGCGCTCACTCTTTGATCCTCTGCTACTCTGGCAGCAACAGCTTGAAATCGATGCTAAGGGTTCCTGGTACAAGCAGACTCTGCCAGTCCCATCTCCTCTAGGAGCTCATTAGTTTACTCCAAATAGCCAGATTTTCTTTTCATTTACTGGTTTCCGAATAGGAAGAAAACACATAAAGGTGGAGAGAAAGAACAAAGTGTAAACACTGTATATCCTTTGTTAAACCTAACCATAGCCTCTTTCCAGATGGTTCTATACAGGGTAAGGTGAAAAAACAGCACCTCATGGATTATCTATATTGTCACAGTGTCATAAGACTCACTTGAGAGATTAGCATAGAGTAGGTATCCAATAAATTATAGTTAAGTAGTCCCGCCTGCCTTTTCTAACCACCTGACAGCTTTCTACTGGGTCTCATGCACTGGGGCTTCCTACCTAAAGCACAGATCTAGTGCCTCAGCGTCCCCTGCTCCCTGCTATTTCCTAAGACACAAGCAGCTCAACCCTTTCCCACCTCCCGAAATGCTCACCCTTACCTTTTGGGTATACACTTTTCTCCAAAGACAACTTGCCCTCTTTAAACTTTTACTTTGCCTCCAAATCCTACTGATCCTTCAAGAATTACTCTAAAACCCCAACATTCTATGATACTATTACCCCCACCCCGCTTCCCCAGTTCTCCAGCCCATAAAGAGCATTTCCTTCTCTAAATGTCTAATAAAAGCTCCACAGTAACATAATTTAGCATTTAATTGGCACTGCTGTTATTTTGTTGTGATTCCCCTTACAATTTATATATTAACATTTTGAGACAGGAATAGTCTTTTACCCTTCCAAACAAAACCTTCTCTGCTGGGCATATAGAGAAACATGTTGAACAGTCAGTGTTTAAACGGGAGACAGTGCCACAAAGTTCCTCTCAGAAGGGAGCAGGGACTTGGGACTGAAGACAGCTGCATGCCACATCATGTCCTTGGTTCCCTTCCCTTACCCATCACTCACCCGCCCTTGATCCAGAAAATACCTATCACAGGTGTATATAAATAAATCTACTGTGTACTACACTGTGCTGAGTGCTGGAAAGAGATACTCATCTCTAATATACAAATAAATAATATACTCATCTCTAATGTACAAATAAATAATCAAAGAGGCAAGACATGGACAGTTAATACATACGAAGTTAACTGCTGACTAAGACATTACAAAACAGTCACAAGCAAGCAGTCTCAGTTTGAAGGAAAAAGAAACATTATGACAACAGTCAGAAAGAACTTCCTGAGGGGAAAAACTTAGAAATCAGTACCAGAAATAACCACCTCTACAATGTGAATACAAGCACCAGCTCCACTTTTTACAGAAATGAACACAAGCAAGCTCTGGCTCCGCGGCCAGAGATGCTAACTCTTCCAGGGTCCCTCATTTCAGGCATGGCGAAGCACTTCCGAGGCATCTGTTCCTCACACGTACTTTTCTCAAAGGCTTCAGCTTGCTCTCCATGATGAACTCGTACTTGCAGAGCTCGCAGCAGCGTGCATCAGAGCTCTTGATCCACTGCTGCAGGCAGGCCTGGTGCACGAAGTGGAGGCTCCCGGTCTTTCTCAAAGGTTTCAGCTTGCTCTCCATGATGAACTCGTACTTGCAGAGCTCGCAGCAGCGCGCATCAGAGCTCTTGATCCACTGCTGCAGGCAGGCCTGGTGCACGAAGTGGAGGCTCCCGGTGCAGCGGCAGGGGGTGATCAGAGGGCTCTCGTCATCTCCTTCACAGTGGCAGATCCTACGGTGGAAGGAAAACCAGTCACTGACAGGAGGGCCCCACGACAGGGAAGGTGACACTTCTGTGGAAAGTCAATCCCCCCGCAAAGAAAACTTTTAGAAACAAACATCACTGAGTGACTACAAGCACAAAAACATACAAACACAAATGAAAACAATCACTACAAACTAAAAATGTCTAGCTTACCGCACCAACATGGAAACTCTGGATGGCATTTGGCAACAGAGAGGAAAAAATGATATAAGAAATGACAAAGCAGTCATTTTTGGGTAAGACTTAAGAACTTCACTGAAAGGTGAATTTAAGGCAACAGGGAATCATCTTCCAGAACATAACATGTTCAAATATTCAGAAGAAAAATTCCTATGAAAAACAAAACCAGTACTCTACCTTCCAAAAATATCACAGTGACTTAAAAAGATGATGATGTTTGCTTTTTAGCTTTAATCACTAACTCCACCTTCACACACCATAACCACACATCTCCATCCTGTCTCACTCAGGGAGTGAGCAGAGATCACAGCGCCCTCCAGGGCCTAAAAACTTCACATTGTAAGGAGCTGCAATGTCATCCCCCCCTCCCCCCCCCAGGACCACTCATAGCAGTAAGTGAGAATTAATTTAAAAGTATTCATTACTTCTAAGGAAGCATGCAGCCAGATGTAACTGCTAACCTCAAGGAACTTAATAGGCTTTTGAGACACAGAGAGGTCTTTTTCCAGCAGCTGGAATAGTCAGCACACCTGTCCGAAAAAGAGCTGGGCCCTGGCCCAGTTCTCAGGCTGCTTCAGTGAGGGGGTTTTCTGATCCAACTGTTAGAAACAAGCACAGCTGGCAAAGGGCAGACTGGCGAAGGCACAGAATGGTGACAAAAAGTGAATTCTGAAAGACTCTGGAGGCCAGATAAGGATGTTGCACGGGGTAGACAGAGGTGGGCAGAGGAGTTAGGACCTGGGCAGACGTGGCCACACTCAAGTTAAAAGGAAGGCAGAAAGGAGTTCCTGGAGGACAGCCGCCCCCCACACACACATCGGGGGGAGTGAGGGGGGAAAAAGAAGCTGGGGGAGGGGCAGCAAATGCTTAAAATCTGGACCCACAAGCTAGACAGCTGGAGATACTGTTTTCTTTCTTCCAATTACTTCATGCAACGTCTACTTATTTTTAGTTGACAAGAGCCAGCTTGGTCTTTAATATGTGTAGCTTCTTCCTCTTTTATCATCTGTGACACTATCTTGGGGCCCACGTCATAAAATTTGGTTTTTCAAATGATATCAATACTCTAGTCTTCTGGAGAAAACATTAACCCACAATTGGTTATAACTGCCTATTACTTCACTTTCCCAAAACTTCACATATTAAAGCAAGACGAGGCTATGGAGGTGTGGGCAGAGATGGCCAGTATGGCGGTTCCTGGCAACCAACCTGCAGGCATCCCCTGACGTAGACACAGGGGATATGGGGGGACACTTTTCAGAGAAGGGAGAAGGACAATCCAGGTCACTGTCCTTTTCTGCTGAGCACAGGGGCGCCCGCAGGACCCTGCTCTTGAGTTTGGTGGACGTGCTGTCCTCGAAGACATCATCGTCGCCCATCTCATCAGAGCAGAAGCCCGTGCTCCCCGCCAGCCCGCTGGAGGACTTGGCAGCGTGCAGGTGGATGGCACAGCTCTCCAGCTCGTGGAACCTGTGCAGGCTGCTGGTGCTCGAGCCATGCGAGAGCGAGAACAGGTACCGGAGCAGTCGCCGGCTTCTGGACATGGCCTCGCCATCTGTTTTCTCTTCCAAAAGTGGGATGTGCATGTCCCTCTTGCCAGCTTCGACCTCTGAAGCAGATGAACGATTAGCAAAAAGGGAAGAGGAAACACAAGAGTGTTTGGAATTGCCAACAGGTTTGCAGTTCAGTGTTCTTTTTTCTTTATGATGGAACCTGTTAACTCTGAGACCTGTATCTTGAGGGAGTATCAATCTTCCTTCAGAACAAGTTCTTTCCACATAGTCAAAACTTTCCAAGGCATGCTGGGCCCTCTCACCCACGTCGTTCAGGGACTTTGAGAACTTTAGTGTTCTTCTGGCTTGGGTATTCTTATCAGGCTTCAAGGCCTGGACCCGTTCTGAACCAAAGAAATTTCTCTTTGACGCCTGTAATGTGTCTTTACAGATAACTGTCTCAGTGAGCCCTTGTGTCAGAGAACTCTGGCATTGAGGAGCTTTCAAGACAACAGCAGACTGCACGGGACTGTGGTGACAACACTCAGAAAACACTGCACTGGAACTGCATGCAGAACAGTGGAATAAAAGCACAGAAAGTAAAAACAATTTTAAAAGAGAATAGACATCAAAGTGAAGAATGAGACTAGTGTGGTAACCAGGTGAGCAAACAGCACACAAAATTGGGCCAACTGTTTAGACCAAAGGAAGACTGGTCAAGCAAGTGGGAAGCTGAGAACCTGCGACACTAATGCTTATTTCGGGGGTGCACACCGACCATCAAGGCTTCTGAAGCAGAGCGTTACCTGCAGATGTCCTGGTTGGATGGCGTGATAGAAGTGCGAGAAAAGGCGTACACGGGGGCTGATGCCGATGGAGGACTCCCAGCCTGCAACAACACACCTCCAGTTAGTGTTCAGGAAGGAGCCAAGGGACCTGTAAACACCATCTCCTTTTGAATGGCACTGGACAGAAAACCTAAGATATCTGCTGTTTCTCACAACTCAATGAGTAACATGTACTAGGTCCTTACACGCCCAGGCAAAACACAAACAGCATTCTTTTCTTCTCATCTGTGGATAAAAGCGTAGCCAAGGAATACCTGAAACTATGGAACACCACTAGCAATCTCCTGCAGGTTCAGGGGCCGTTTATGCCCTAAGCATCTAAATTTAATTAGTTCCTACACACATTGAGAAAAAATAAGATGCTATGCAAACGCAAAAGAAACGTGAGGTGCCACACCTGCCAACACCTGCTTCCCCAGCACTCTTTCACCTAGGTCCTGAGATAACCCTAACCAAGGCTGGCAGAGGGGAGGGCTCTCTCCTACCTCAGCACCTCACACACGGTGCCCATGGTCTGGTCCACGATACCTCGCTACCCTGCCAGAGTTCTTTATGCAAAAGAGAGACTACTACATCCAGGGCCACCAATCCATATAGCTCAACCCAGGGCCTAGGAAGGGGCTGAGCACAGAATGCTCCCAAGAGATCTAATCTCGGAATTGTGAATTAAGAAAAATAATCAAGAAAATTTAAACTTGAAAAATGTGTAGCCAAGAGATCATGGGATAGAAGAGGGCCTCTGAGGTGTGATGAACAAGCCAATATTAAAGACTTAGAAGGGAGAGGAAGCACCACAGTGGGAGAGAAGTGGAGGGAGAGAGACGGGGGCAGGGAGAATAGGTGAGCTGAAGGTGCAAAACCACCACTAGAGGGCCCCCGCGTCCCATGCCAGCCCCTGTGGAGCCCTGGCTAGGCCTTATCAACTCAGATTCCAGAGTCACAGCAACACTCGCAGGGAGAATAGGTGAGCTGAAGGTGCAAAACCACCACTAGAGGGCCCCCGCGTCCCATGTCAGCCCCTGTGGAGCCCTGGCTAGGCCTTATCAACTCAGATTCCAGAGTCACAGCAACACT